AAATTTATCTTGTTAAAAAATAATTGATATTACAATAAATTTAAGGGATGATTTTTGAATTTTTTTAAATTTGAAATGTTAAATTTATTATGATTAATTATAATTGATGGTTAATTTTTTCTTTCCTATTCAAACATTTGATATAATTTAAAATATTTGAATTCTTTCTTAAAAATATAAATAAATCAATAATCAAATCATAAATTAAAAAAAAATCAATAATCCATAATAAACTATAACCAATGCATTTTACAAAAAAAAAACTGCTTTAATTTACTTTTGAAATTTATGATTTTGTATAAGAGATGGGTGTTAGATAGAATTATGCACATGCACATTATTCATCCCAAATTTTATTTTATTTTCTTATTTTGTATAATTATCGATTAGCATTATAAATAAAAAATAATAAATGATATGGTTATTAAATTAATATTATAAATAAATTTCAAGTTTGTATTTTGTATTTTTGAATTTTCTGAAATTCGAGAATGGTAAATTTATTATCATTAATTATAGTTGGTGATTAATTTTTTCTTTCCTTTTTTAAGAAAGATTCAAGTATTAGATATAATTTGTAATTTTTGAATTATTTCTTAAAATATTAATCAATCAATAATCAATTGTAACCATTGTGATTAAAAAAAACATATTTTAATTAATTTTTGAAATTTGTTATTGGCTAGGGTGATTAAATTACGAAATCCGTCTCATAAGATTGACATGCCACTTGAAACTTGCACGGATCATAAGAGACTGATTTTGTATAACAGATGAACGTTTGATAGGATTATGCACAATTGCACATCCATTGCAAAAATGTCAAATTTATTTCCATTAATCATAGTTGTTGATTAATTTTTTCTTTCCTCTTTTAAGAAAAGTTTAAAGTTTAAAATTTAAGATATTTAAATTCTTACTTAAAAAAAGAAATAAATCAATAATCAAATCATAAATTTAAAAATATCAATAATCAAATCAAATAAATCAATAGCCAATAATCAATTGTAAACTGTGTATTCTTTTTAAAAAAAAATACTCGTTTAATTCACTTTTAAAACCCTAAGTAAACAAATTGCCAACAATGGGAAGATTATTTTACTAATGAGCAGTTGGAAACACTGAGGAAACAAATCGCAGCTTATGCCAACATTTGAGAGCAACTACTTCAGAAGCACAAAACATTTTCAGTAGTCAGTGACTTAGTATATGCCCTTTTTTCCCCATCAAACGTTCATCTCTTATACAAAATCAGTCTCGTATGATTCATGCAAATTTCATCTGTACCATGTCAATCATAGGAGACTGATTTTGGATATAGTCATAGTAAACATAAGGTTTTAAAAGTGAATTAAACTAGTATTTTTTTTAAAAGAATACATGGGTTACAATTGATTATGTTACATTAGGAGAATTAAAGGTACAGCTCCATAGCAGTTACATTAGGAGCATTAGGAGTAGCTTTTATTAGGAGAATTGAAGTGGCAATTGTTAGCCATTGACGTGTCATTGAATTAGGCAGGAAACGGTTTAGGAGTTTGGGGTCCATGTATTAAAGGCATAACTGTAACCGATGAGAATTCATTCAAGAATTAATCAGAAACGTTATTCTTTTGTTCTTCTCTGTTCTTGCTCCGTTGTGAGGGTTTGCGTCCCTTAACATTGGTGCTTTCATCATTGTGGACTTGCCATTTTTCTACAAAATCCATGCTTTCTTCTTGTTGAACTCATTTTCGTTCTTCAAGATGCAGGATGAATTTAGGGCTTCTCAACCCCATATTTCAACTTCACCTTCCATTGCAACACTAGTGGATAATCTTGCTGTCGCCATTACAAACCTTGCACGATGTAGCACAGAGATGTATGCTGATTTTGCAAGTTTTAGGAACGAGATGCGCGCCGACTTCGCCAAGATTAAAGCTAATTTCGCAAAGGTTAGTACCCTAGCTTCTACAATGAGTTTCGATGGCAGTGTCCCAGTTTCGGAAGATGCTATTAGTGTTGATGTTTCCGGTTCTGGAGTCAATCAAGAAATTCAAGAGATGGTTGCTGTGGCGCATCAGTGTATTGCAATAACTCCAATTTTGATTGATGTGGAAGCTAAGTCAGTTGATTCCTTTTTGGTTGGGTGTAAAGTGCAAACTGGTGCCCTTCCTTGGCTTGACGATCTAAGTTTGATGGCCATATACTGTGTCTCTGATGATATGGTAGCTGCAAGACACATGTTTGATGAAATGTCTGACCTAAGTACAAGGTCTTGGTACGTGATGATATATGACCCTTTGCTTTATTGGGACCCTGGAGGATTTCTTTTAACCATCGTAGAGAACATGCTGGATATTGGACGAATAAGTCTTCCGCATGAAGACGCCAAGCCATATAAACTTGATCTCGTTCTTAAGAAAGGAATTTGCCTCTATGGTGCAGAGATTTCTCCTAAATCTGTAAGTGTTGGCTTAACAGAAGCTTCCTTTACAAGGTTCCTTACTTTTACTTGGGATCCAAAAGGTTTCTTTGCTCTTTCTTTCACATTGAACCTTGAGGACAAGATTCCTTTACAAGATGGGGTGAATGATGTAAGCATCAGTAGCAGCAGAAAGATGATACAAGTAGCCATTGTAGTTATATTAACATTCACCATAGAAGATGAGCAACCAGAGGTCCAAGGTCGAGTGTTGATGTTAACCAAAAAAAAAATAATTGCAACAAAAAGTCAAAATGGGCATAATGGAGTTTCTTATACACAATATCTCAATAAGTTGCATGGCCTTATCCAAGTGGAAAAGTTAACTTGCTGGATGATCACTGGGGAGAGACAGGCTGCAAAAATAAGAGGTTTACACCTTCAAACAATTTTGAGGCAAGATGTTAGTTTCTTTGATGAGGAAACTAATACTGAAGAGGTTGTTAGAAGGATATCAGGTGATATTGTTCTTATTCAAGATGCCATGGGTGAGAAGGTCGGACAGTTTATACAGTTAATAGCAACTTTCTTGGGAGGTTTTGTAATAGCATTCATCAGGGGATGGCCTCTAACAGTTGTCATGCTATCTTGTATTCTACTTATTCTAATGAGCATGGTTATTGCAAAAGCATCATCCAGTGGACAAACAGATTATTCTACAAACAGATTATTCTACAGCAGCAAGTGTAGTAGAGCAGACAATAGGTTCTATCCAAACAGTTGCATTATTCACTGGGGAGAAGCAAACTATAGCTAAATATAATCAGTCCTTGATCCAAGCTTACAAGACTGGAGTGCAAGAGGCAATATCTTATGGTCTGGAGTTTGGTTCACTCTTTTTTGTTTATATCTCCACTTATGTTTTGGCTGTATGGTTTGGTGGGAAAATGACAATAAGGAAAGGATATACTGGAGGGAAGGTTGTGACTGTAATTTTTTTTGATTTGACTGGCTCCATGTCTCTTGGGCAGGTTCTTCCAAGCTTAGGTGTTTTTGCTGCAGGACAAGCTGCAACCTTTAAGATGTTTGAAACAATTAAAAGGAAGCCAGAAATTGATTCTTATTATGATACAGGTCAGCAACTTGGTGAAATTCGTGGAGAAATAGAACTTAGGAAGGTTTGCTTTAGTTATCCTACAAGACCTGATGAAATGATCTTAAATGGATTTTCTCTTTCAACACCAAGTGGCACTACTGCAGATGAGACAATTAAGGGAGGCACTTTCAATGAATTTGTACCAGATTCTGCAGCTATTGCTTCAAGCATCCAATATCATGCTGTGTTCACCACATCTTTTTCTCCAGAGAAGTTAGAGCTCAGTAAGGCTCTCTTTGCAACTGCAGAGAGTGTCTGTGACTCCCTCATCATAAATTGGAATGCAACATATGACTATTATGAGAAGATGAATGTTAAACAAGCTTATTATATGTCTATGGAGTATCTACAGGGTAGGGCATTGCTGAATGCAATTGGGAATTTACAACTCTCAGGTCCTTATGTTGAGGCTCTCAAAAAGCTGGGTCACAATTTACAGGATGTGGCTAATCAGGAGCCAGATGCTGCCCTTGGGAATGGGGGACTAGGTCGACTTGCTTCCTGCTTTTTGGACTCCTTGGCAACGTTGAATTACCCTGAATGGGGATATGGACTTAGATACAAGTAGCTTATAACAAAGGATGGCCAGGAGGAAGTTGCTGAAAGCTGGCTTGAGATGAGAGATCCCTGGGAAATCTTAAGAAATGATGTCTATTATCCAGTTAGACTCTATGGAGAAGTTATTTCAGGGCCAAATGGAAGTAAACAGTGGATTGGAGGAGTAGCTTTTATCTGGACTGGCTCTCCATCCTGAAAGTAGGAATCTGCCTGTGCATTTGAATGAAGAGATAAAGTCTTTCAAAAAGAAAAAAAAAATACGCAACATGTGCAACCTATAAAAAAAAAAGGATTTCTAGTTCTTTTTTTTCATTGGGACCTTGAGGACAAGGTCCATTTTTTAGGAGAAGGCAATGTTACATTAGGAGAATTAAAGGTACAGCTCCATAGCAGTTACATTAGGAGCATTAGGAGTAGCTTTTATTAGGAGAATTGAAGTGGCAATTGTTAGCCATTGACGTGTCATTGAATTAGGCAGGAAACGGTTTAGGAGTTTGGGGTCCATGTATTAAAGGCATAACTGTAACCGATGAGAATTCATTCAAGAATTAATCAGAAACGTTATTCTTTTGTTCTTCTCTGTTCTTGCTCCGTTGTGAGGGTTTGCGTCCCTTAACATTGGTGCTTTCATCATTGTGGACTTGCCATTTTTCTACAAAATCCATGCTTTCTTCTTGTTGAACTCATTTTCGTTCTTCAAGATGCAGGATGAATTTAGGGCTTCTCAACCCCATATTTCAACTTCACCTTCCATTGCAACACTAGTGGATAATCTTGCTGTCGCCATTACAAACCTTGCACGATGTAGCACAGAGATGTATGCTGATTTTGCAAGTTTTAGGAACGAGATGCGCGCCGACTTCGCCAAGATTAAAGCTAATTTCGCAAAGGTTAGTACCCTAGCTTCTACAATGAGTTTCGATGGCAGTGTCCCAGTTTCGGAAGATGCTATTAGTGTTGATGTTTCCGGTTCTGGAGTCAATCAAGAAATTCAAGAGATGGTTGCTGTGGCGCATCAGTGTATTGCAATAACTCCAATTTTGATTGATGTGGAAGCTAAGTCAGTTGATTCCTTTTTGGTTGGGTGTAAAGTGCAAACTGTACCCTTCCTTGGCTTGACGATCTAAGTTTGATGGCCATATACTGTGTCTCTGATGATATGGTAGCTGCAAGACACATGTTTGATGAAATGTCTGACCTAAGTACAAGGTCTTGGTACGTGATGATATATGACCCTTTGCTTTATTGGGACCCTGGAGGATTTCTTTTAACCATCGTAGAGAACATGCTGGATATTGGACGAATAAGTCTTCCGCATGAAGACGCCAAGCCATATAAACTTGATCTCGTTCTTAAGAAAGGAATTTGCCTCTATGGTGCAGAGATTTCTCCTAAATCTGTAAGTGTTGGCTTAACAGAAGCTTCCTTTACAAGGTTCCTTACTTTTACTTGGGATCCAAAAGGTTTCTTTGCTCTTTCTTTCACATTGAACCTTGAGGACAAGATTCCTTTACAAGATGGGGTGAATGATGTAAGCATCAGTAGCAGCAGAAAGATGATACAAGTAGCCATTGTAGTTATATTAACATTCACCATAGAAGATGAGCAACCAGAGGTCCAAGGTCGAGTGTTGATGTTAACCAAAAAAAAAATAATTGCAACAAAAAGTCAAAATGGGCATAATGGAGTTTCTTATACACAATATCTCAATAAGTTGCATGGCCTTATCCAAGTGGAAAAGTTAACTTGCTGGATGATCACTGGGGAGAGACAGGCTGCAAAAATAAGAGGTTTACACCTTCAAACAATTTTGAGGCAAGATGTTAGTTTCTTTTATGAGGAAACTAATACTGAAGAGGTTGTTAGAAGGATATCAGGTGATATTGTTCTTATTCAAGATGCCATGGGTGAGAAGGTCGGACAGTTTATACAGTTAATAGCAACTTTCTTGGGAGGTTTTGTAATAGCATTCATCAGGGGATGGCCTCTAACAGTTGTCATGCTATCTTGTATTCTACTTATTCTAATGAGCATGGTTATTTCAAAAGCATCATCCAGTGGACAAACAGATTATTCTACAAACAGATTATTCTACAGCAGCAAGTGTAGTAGAGCAGACAATAGGTTCTATCCAAACAGTTGCATTATTCACTGGGGAGAAGCAAACTATAGCTAAATATAATCAGTCCTTGATCCAAGCTTACAAGACTCGAGTGCAAGAGGCAATATCTTATGGTCTGGAGTTTGGTTTACTCTTTTTTGTTTATATCTCCACTTATGTTTTGGCTGTATGGTTTGGTGGGAAAATGACAATAAGGAAAGGATATACTGGAGGGAAGGTTGTGACTGTAATTTTTTTTGATTTGACTGGCTCCATGTCTCTTGGGCAGGTTCTTCCAAGCTTAGGTGTTTTTGCTGCAGGACAAGCTGCAACCTTTAAGATGTTTGAAACAATTAAAAGGAAGCCAGAAATTGATTCTTATTATGATACAGGTCAGCAACTTGGTGAAATTCGTGGAGAAATAGAACTTAGGAAGGTTTGCTTTAGTTATCCTACAAGACCTGATGAAATGATCTTAAATGGATTTCTTTCAACACCAAGTGGCACTACTGCAGATGAGACAATTAAGGGAGGCACTTTCAATGAATTTGTACCAGATTCTGCAGCTATTGCTTCAAGCATCCAATATCATGCTGTGTTCACCACATCTTTTTCTCCAGAGAAGTTAGAGCTCAGTAAGGCTCTCTTTGCAACTGCAGAGAGTGTCTGTGACTCCCTCATCATAAATTGGAATGCAACATATGACTATTATGAGAAGATGAATGTTAAACAAGCTTATTATATGTCTATGGAGTATCTACAGGGTAGGGCATTGCTGAATGCAATTGGGAATTTACAACTCTCAGGTCCTTATGTTGAGGCTCTCAAAAAGCTGGGTCACAATTTACAGGATGTGGCTAATCAGGAGCCAGATGCTGCCCTTGGGAATGGGGGACTAGGTCGACTTGCTTCCTGCTTTTTGGACTCCTTGGCAACGTTGAATTACCCTGAATGGGGATATGGACTTAGATACAAGTAGCTTATAACAAAGGATGGTCAGGAGGAAGTTGCTGAAAGCTGGCTTGAGATGGGAAATCCCTGGGAAATCTTAAGAAATGATGTCTATTATCCAGTTAGACTCTATGGAGAAGTTATTTCAGGGCCAAATGGAAGTAAACAGTGGATTGGAGGAGTAGCTTTTATCTGGACTGGCTCTCCATCCTGAAAGTAGGAATCTGCCTGTGCATTTGAATGAAGAGATAAAGTCTTTCAAAAAGAAAAAAAAATACGCAGCATGTGCAACCTATAAAAAAAAAAAAGGATTTCTAGTTCTTTTTTTTCATTGGGACCTTGAGGACAAGGTCCATTTTTTAGGGGAAGGCAATGTTACATTAGGAGAATTAAAGGTACAGCTCCATAGCAGTTACATTAGGAGCATTAGGAGTAGCTTTTATTAGGAGAATTGAAGTGGCAATTGTTAGCCATTGACGTGTCATTGAATTAGGCAGGAAACGGTTTAGGAGTTAGTGGTCCATGTATTAAAGGCATAACTGTAACCGATGAGAATTCATTCAAGAATTAATCAGAAACGTTATTCTTTTGTTCTTCTCTGTTCTTGCTCCGTTGTGAGGGTTTGCGTCCCTTAACATTGGTGCTTTCATCATTGTGGACTTGCCATTTTTCTACAAAATCCATGCTTTCTTCTTGTTGAACTCATTTTCGTTCTTCAAGATGCAGGATGAATTTAGGGCTTCTCAACCCCATATTTCAACTTCACCTTCCATTGCAACACTAGTGGATAATCTTGCTGTCGCCATTACAAACCTTGCACGATGTAGCACAGAGATGTATGCTGATTTTGCAAGTTTTAGGAACGAGATGCGCGCCGACTTCGCCAAGATTAAAGCTAATTTCGCAAAGGTTAGTACCCTAGCTTCTACAATGAGTTTCGATGGCAGTGTCCCAGTTTCGGAAGGTGGTACACTCAAACTTTCCTTAGGAGATCTAACACTCAAGCTTTTCCCTAGAGGTTCTCACAAATTTTAAGCTCTAAGCTTTTCTTCAAGTCTTTAACCCCTCACTCTCACACACCACAAACTTATATAGAGGAGGAAGAGAAATTCTAAAAGTAATTATGGAACATAGGGAGACAAGGGTACAACCTTGAGCAACTCAAAGGTGTGCTCTTGAGTCTTGTGCAGCATTAAAAGAAGGAATAACTTCCAACAAATCACCTCCTTCTGACTTCAATGTGTTGGCATTAGCAGCAACCCGACACTGTTACAACAGTCTTCGAATTTCTTGCTGGTACCGGTTTAGTCATCATGTTGAACCAATTCAGGTCGGTGTGCACCTTGACGAGTTCGAGTTGTCCACCATCCACCACATCCTGGATCTAGTGATACCTCACATCAATATGTTTAGTGAGGAAGTGATAGGTCGAGTTCTTCGCTAGATGAATAGAGCTTTGATTGTCACATTTCAGCTCGTGCTTGTCTTGATTATGACCGAGTTCAGAGAGAAACTTCTTCATCCATAATAATTCCTTACAAGCCTCAGTGCTATGTATTCGGCCTCGCTTGTTGAAAGTGCCACACATTTCTTTAGTTTTGATTGCCAGGAGACAACTCTTCCTGTAAATGTCATCAAATAACCAGTAGTCGACTTCCTAGAGTCGGCATTTTCCCCTAAGTCAGCATCCATAAAGCCCACTAGCTCGACCTTACCTTCTCCAAAGCGGAGGCATAAACTTTTTGTTCCTCTGAGATACTTGAAGATCCACTCCACTGCTTTTCAGTGTTCTTTGTCGGGGTTGGGCAGATATCGGCTCACAATTCCAATTGCATACGCCAAGTTGGGTTTCGTAAAAACCATTGCATACATCAATCTTTATGTGGATTAGTATGGGATCTTTAGCATCTCGTCTTTTTCTTCATCAGATCTGGGACACTGCTTCTGGCTCAGCTTTATGTGTCCGGACAAGGGGGTGCTCACTATTTTGACTTTGTCCATGCTAAATCTTTTCAGGATCTTCTCTATGTATTTTTATTGACTTAGCCACAAGTAGCTTTCTATGTCGGTCTCTAACAATTTTGATTCCAAGTATTTGCTTTGCAAGGCTGAGGTTCTTCATCGCGAAGGATGAGCTCAACGCC